GGCAATGCGATCCGTTCGTCCTAATTCACAAAACTCACAAAGTTACCGAAATACCCCCAGATCACCCCGTTTCCCCTACTGATCTACCCCCAGGTACCCAGTATCCCCACCCTAGCATCCCTACTATTATTCTACCATTTTTCCGTATTTTTATCGGCCACCGTTCTATCCCTATTCACCCTACGATCATCCCTGCCCATATTCCCCATTTTATCCATAAATAACCCAGCCCGTTTCACCATATACGCCCTACCTACCCGCCCTACCCATTCCCCAGCACCCCTACCCCATCCCCTACCCCCTACCCTACCCCTAGGACCACCCCCGTACGCCCTACCCCATCACCCTGGGCCACCCGGCCACCCAGAATCACCCCCCGGCCGCCCCAGTAGCCAGCCCAGTACTGGCATTTATAATTCTTGGGCCAGAGGAACCTTTGTAAAGGATCCTATCCTTACTAGCAGGTACCTTTATAAAGGAGGTACATCCTCTGGTGTGCTATCGACGTTCGTACTCTTTTCTTTCATATCGAACTTATTCTAGTAAACCTGTTCACTGATCGTACATACTATTCTCTATAGACTGATCAACCGAGCCCTCAAAACATCGCCGAGCTTTCTAGACCTTTCCGACAGTTTCACGAGGACAGTCGAAAGGACCGCGATCCTCGAGGACGAAAGCGCCATCATAGTGCGGTCAATGCTATCTACGTCAACTGGGTGAATCCTTTCATTTTCGAACAGATCGACATGGTTGCCAATGCATCCGGTCCAGAATGGTCTCCTACCGAGATTGTTCGTCTCCTTCGTGCTCGAAACCCTGCCCATTTCGCTCAACTCACCCCTCAAGTTCTTGGGCGTTGGATTGAGCGTCCGCAGAACGACACTCCACGCTGGAAAGCTAACATCCTCGCTCGCGTTGCTCAAGGCAATAGACCAATCGCTAATATTACAAGCTCTGGGGTTCTCGTACATTTGATTTCATCCATTTCACGCTATTCTTTCCAATACATTTACTGACTGAATGCATATATAGGAGAAAAGGCCCATCATTATCGAAGAGGGCATCAAAATCCTCACCTATTTCCGCCAAGCTGGCATCCCTGTCTCTGTCATTACCGCTCGCGGGATCCTAATCGCCCTCATTCAGCATCATGCCCCCGAGCTTCTCCTCACCACTGCTCGCGATGGGAGTCGCTTCCAATGCTCCGAAGCCTTCGTTCGCAAATTCCTCTATCGACACCTTCGTTGGGTTCCCCGCACTTCCACTCACGCCGCTCAGAAGATTCCGACAAACACTGAAGACCAGCTATTCGACATGTTTCTCCGGACAGCATTGTGGATTCGCGACAATGGTATTCGACACCCAGACCTCATCGTCAACTTCGACCAGACGAACATCATCATCGGCGATAGCGGGGCGCGTACGTTTGACGTGGAGGGGACGAAGCAAGTTGGTGTGGTTAGTAAGGAGGAGAAGCGGGCGTGGACTGCTGTCGTAGGGATCTCAGCCTCTGGTGCAGTACTTCCAACGCAGGTTGTCATGAAGGGTGTCACTTCTCGCAGTCTTCCTTCCCCACACGCTCCCGCTATGGCCGAAGCTCAGCATCTCGGTATCCGTTTCGAGTGCAACCCGAAGAACCATTGGTCGAACCTTCCGTGCATGATGGCCTATTTCCGCGACATCGTCGTGCCTTATTTCCTTGGTCGGAAGCTTGCCCTTGGGTATGCCCCTGACGTTGAATGCCGGGCCAACCTCGACGCTTGGGTTATACACAGGAGCAAGGAGTTTCGTCGGTCTGTCAGGCAGAAGTGGCCTTGGCTTCGCCTCGGTTTCATTCCTGGTGGATGCACGAGTATTGGTCAACCATGCGATGTCGGAATTCAGCGCCCTTACAAGCTTTCGATCAAAAAGTCGCAACTGGAGGATGTGACTTCCGAGGCCCGACAGCATTTCGAGGCCGGTGGAGCACCAGATGCATTGAAGCTCGATACGACGATCGGGACGCTCCGTAATCGCTCCGTCGGTTGGTTCGTGAAGGCTTTGAAGGATATCGATCATCCTGAACCCGTGAAGAAGGTTTGTTCCTTCTCAGCACTCTTCGCTTTCATTCTCACTGATGCGATATCTTTTAGCTTGGGAGCGGTGTATTATCCGCGGTGGTTTTAACCTCTCATTCGAGTCTCTTACAAGCCCGGCTGCTCTTAAGCTTCTTCGCGAGTTACCTTGTACAGATCCTGAACGTTGGTCTCATATTTCTGCTGCTGTTGCTGGTGGAGAGGAAGCTGATTTGGATGATGTGGCGGATGAAGAGGATGTCAACGAAGACATCTCTCCTTTCGATGATGTTGAGGAGGCGGGCTCGGATGATGGTGGTGATACTTGGTTGGAGCCATCGGCCTTGATGGAGCAGATGTTTGCCGCTGTGCCGAGTGGACACGCTCTGACGAGTGAACACGGTGGTCTCGGTTTGGCCGATGAGCTGGAGCCGGGGGAGATAGAGGTTCCCGAGCCGGAGGAGCTTGGTCGGGGGAAGCGTCGTCGTGTTCAGACGAAGACGTTTGATGATTTCGTGGGTCATTGAGGTGTTCTCTTACTTGTGTTTATTTTTGTTTGTTTTTAGATACATTTTTATGTCTTTTACCGAATGTCACATAAAATCGTTCTCAGTAGGGACAAATGGTGGGACGGTCACGGTGAAATTGTTTGTTCTCGAGCGGTGCGGGACGTGGGACAGAACGATAGCCCGTAAAAGTACAGTATAACTGTACCATGTAGTAGGTAAACGTGGAGCGTAGTTGTATACATGTGTTGTCGAACGGTCAATATCGAGGATGTGGTTGAGGGAATGAAGACGGATGAGTGGACATGGTCACAGATATGATGGCTCATGAGTATATTGTGGGGTCCTCGAGGAGAGTATGGCCTAACGGAGGGCAGTGCCGGTGCCACTTATGGTGTCTATATCTGACGGTAAAACTGACAGAGTAGGGAACAGCTGAGATAAGATGTGATAAACAAAATGGGGACAGTAATGCCCTCAATGCAAGCAAACAGACGAGAGAGAACTCACAATACATTTTGTACAGCCTAGTTCATTCTCATCAATACTTATTCTTGACGCCTGTAGCACTTACATTACTTGGAAGGCGCAGAGGTGTTGGATGAGTTCAGCGCAAGGCCTGTCCACCAAGTACTTATGTTGTAGCTTTGTCTGCTACTGAGACTGACCGTGGCTTGGTATCAAAATGAAGCCTGCAGAAAAGTATATCAGTACTACGGTAGGTATTAAGTTGCTGTCCTAATAATGCTACCGATAGGAAGAGTGCACCAAACTGTTTTGGACGAGGTGGAATGAAGTGTCAGAATGCGAGCCGGGCTTGCAGTGAGCGAGGCAAGACTTCTGTGGGAAACAATGAGGTAGAGACGACAATACTCACATAGTACATAAAACTTGTTCATGAGATCTATCGTTACTCACTGAAACACTTTTATAGCTAGCTTCTGGATAGATAAGTCAGAGGTAAAGCGGTGAATGTGAAAGTGGCAAGTACGCACAAGTCTCATGCCTGACTTCTCTTCCTCCCTCTACTCTTATCTTCAAATCTATCTATCCATGCATATACTGTAGTTTTTCGACCAAGTGTTCGTGGGAGAATTATATAAGCCATGACCACCGCTGGTCCGCGGTTCATTTGGGCGGGCCACGCATGACGAACAGGCAAAATTGCTCGTATTTATGCCAAAAATTCGATTTTTGGCGATTTTTTGGCGCAAATCGGTCACGATTCTGCTAAGGTAGCCTGGTACTAAATCTAAGGCGTCACCTATAGCCAAACCCTAACCAAACCAAACCAAGCCTAACCCTGTAGCTGAGGGTGTCGGCGTAGGAATGTGAGTACTAGGAGTGCTTGTCCTAGGGGCACTAGCCCAGAGAGAGAATAGTGGGGGGTGAACTGAGATCGTGGGCTTGGGGCTGGATACACCAGGACACAAGGTCACACTGAGTATGGCGAGAAGCAAAGGAGATTGAGTTAGGGAACTATTCTACGATACAGGTGGTTCTTATATACATCCTGGGCTGACCCTTTAGGGCACATCCTCACTGTACACTACGAGTGAACACTACAGGAATCCTTCATGGATATCCAGTGTGTCCAGCAATGGGCACAATGGGTATAAACTGCTGAGTCAATATGCACAAGACTATTCTAGAATGTTCCAGACCCGATCACATGTCCCTACATCACGACCACAAGGTCACATGCCATCATGTGCCTTCCACATGACTGGTCACGTGCCTATCCCTCTATTCATCCTACATCTCCATCGTCGAAGTTGCACCTGGGGCCACAATGCCTGCAAGGCGCGTACACTCCTTAGAAATGCCGAGAAATAAAGGGTTAGGTTTAGCCCGAAGGCCGTTTCAGATTCTCTGTTCGTGAACCCCTGTGCATGTGTGACCCCGGGACCCAATCTGTTCGTCCACGCACGGCGCGTGACGAACAGTTGGTCAAAAAAGTATAGTATTTTGAATCCACATCTCCGCCATGCTCAACTCACAAGAAAAACTATTCCAGCTCTGTCTAGAAACACTGCTAGTCGGAGCGAAAGAGGGGGTTTTGCATTGTTGTGGTGCAAAAGATGACGATAAGTGCCCAATGACGCGTCCAAAGCTTCCACCAGTAGCGTAGATTCTTTTGTTCTCGCGATATTCATGTCATGCTCAACCCAATATCCCACATTCTATGTCCCACATCTACACATATTTAAGCTCATAAATACCCGGGCTTTCTAAAGCTCAAGCCCGAGCCCAAAGCCCTATAGAGAGTCAGGCTGGGCTCGGGCCGGGCGGACTAAATTCGGGTCAGGCTTGGCTGGGCTTGGGATTTTGAGCCCGGCACAGCACAACACTAATGTCACCTAGAGTATGATGTCCTAGCCCATAAAACATTGTACTTAGCTAGCCTTTGTCTCAGCCGGAGGACCATAGACATTGTTCATAACTGACTATTTCAATCACCTACTACAGCACCAAACCCAGTCATCTCAGATATCACATTGCACCTCCCTTCTTTTCTGTCATTGTCACTTCAAACCAGCGGCGAGTCTACAGAGCTTGATTTAATTCGTCAATATGAACCAGTGAACCAAATTGTCAGCTTCTCAGGAAGATTAGGTTATTGCTAGCATTAATCATGCTCCAATATTCTTGAGTCTCTAAGCAAAGTGACAGCTGGGGACTCCCTCTCTTTGGAGAAATTACTTCCATGGCTATAGCCTCAGTCCTCGTTGCTATCCTTCGGTTATACAAACTCGAATTCCACCTGGGTATACTTCTGAAGACCAATACAATATTGGGATCAGGTCCAAGCTTGTAAAAACACTCCTTCAATCATTTCTACTCGCCCTTGGGAGTGTGAGCATCTGTACAAGTCATCCCCGAGTAAAGGATACCACTATACTTGACTATACATCTCTTATGCTTTATCACGACCTGTACAAACCGTCATGACATACTACCAACTTAAAACCCTCGCCCCTACTGTGTCACTTCGTCTACAGACCCAACCACACCTCCTAGACCAAAGGAAACGGTGATGTGTTGTATTTCACGGTTTTGCACACTGCATATCATACCTTATGACCTGTCTAAAGCTCAGGAGGTACTGTATATGTCCCAAAGACCCTCACCGAACACCTCTAGCAATCACTACACACTGTGAAAAGGATCCGTGGCAACTTTCACCAAGTGGAGGTGCAAAAGTCACTTCTGACGCCTCAATGAGCAAAAGGCGAAAGTGCGAAAGTCGCCGCAGCCCCACTTGTCAGTCGTGCAACGATACCCCAAGGACTCCGTAAGAAAGTAGTACAAAGGCAAACCTAGTGTGAGTGTAGCACTACTATAAATGTGTTTAGGGCAGGGGCAAACGACTAATGCTGTTTTGAGCATCCCGGCATGCTATGATGTCATTAGCACCTGGGCGAAAAGCTCATCAGTCGCATCAATCACCACCAGCTCTGTCTTCGACCACGACCACGACCACGACCACACCAGTTAACCACCACAGCCGCTGCTGCTGCCGCTGCCGCCTATTGCTGGCTAGGATTTTCCACATTCCATAGCCTGCCATGAGCCCACCACGGTCAAGATCTCGTCAATGCACAGTGCGTGCCCATGCTGCACAATACCTTTGACAGGCTTCGAGGTGCATCGCTCTTGCTTGTGGCCTCAATGTCATCGCTAACCATCCAATGAGTACAGGAAATTAATCTGGACATAGGGCTTAGGCTAAGGGAGGATTTGTGCTGATGTAGATACCGGTACGTCCCCATTACATCCCTGAATAAACCCTGCCCGGTTCTACATACGCTCGTGGTTTCACGCCTCTTGTCATGTTGTTACATGTATTGTTCGTGGTCTTGAGATATATGTATCGTGCCGTGGATGAATTCAATTTTTTTGTGCTGTAATGAGCCCTGAGAGCCCATACAAAAGCCCTGCAAAAGCCCCCAAAACAACCCAAATATCGTAGCTAGAGCCCTACAAAATTTGTGATATGAATTGTAGTGAGCAAACGTAGTGCAACCGTAATCGACTGCTATAGCGAAACGGGACAGATCCGTAATGAATTTCGCTATACTTTTGCTATGGATGCTAGCTACAAAATACTTGGTGGTTTCACTAAAAACCTGCCGACTTCCGCCACCTGCTATGCTGAAAGTCGCCACAACCAGGGCTCTCCACGATTATATCCGTACGAGTACCTGTATCCGTGGGAACAAGTACCTGTTCCCTCGGAGGCCATACCTGTATCCGGTATGGCATCCGTGGTAACGGATACTTGTATCCACGAGTA